GGGGAAATGGTGAAAAAGACGAAAATTGTCCCGTTGTTTACGAAAAAAAAAAAAAAAACGCTAATAAACCCCAAAACTAATATCCCCCTCCAATAAACTGATCTACTTTCACTAAAATCTTAACCAAGTTAAAAACATTACAAGCCAGCCAAAGTCTCCTCTTGGCTGGCATTTATGCTTACTTATTAATCATAACCAATCAGAGTTTCTTTCGTTCGTAGCTGGTTGGTTATCATCAGTAACTAAACATACCCCCTTCGCACATACTTCCGCCAAGTCTTCCTTTTGCTGGGTGAAAGCACCCCAATAAACTTCTTCCCCACACACTTTAAACACATAATCTTCCACTCACTCTTTACTCCTCAAAAACTAGGATTATTGCGATTCTTAATCTTCCCTTTTTTACTGGCTCCTGCTAGTTCTTCCCCACAACAATAACAAGCACACTTATCATAACTCCGGTTCGGCTTCACTACTTTAATTGGTCTCACTCTTGGCAACTCCTGATACAAATGACAGTCCAAAATATTCCTCGCTACTCCTAAACACAACTGCGGACAAAGCACATGTTCCTGCTGACAACTCTGGCATAATAGCTGCTGAAAAGGCTCTCAACCAAGGTTGAGCAGGTTAGTCCGCTGACAAAAACTACACTGCTGAATATCTAATTCTTTTAATCCAGAAAGTTTTTGCTGCTCTTTTTGACTAATTTTGACTACCATTTTTGCCTAAAATACATATAAGTGCAAGCACTTACCACTTTTGCCAACTTCAAGAAAAGAAAATACTCCTTTTTGCTCTTCTCTTTTTATCCCTTTTAAAAGGAACAATTGAAGTAATTTTAATTCTCAAATTCTCTTTTATTTGTAAATTATCGTATAATTATATTTTTTAATGTTTTTTTATTCGTTTTCCGCCTATTGTCTCCATGGGAAAAAGGGGTGAGAAGACGAGAGAAAAGATGCTGTGAGTGGCTTGTGGAGATGGAAAAAATTTTTTTTTGCTACTTTTTTTTAAGTGTTGAGAAACGAATCAACTAAAAATATAAATATATACTTGCTTGCTGAAAACAATCGGTAGGGTTAATAGGTTATCTAGGAATTGCAAACGCCTTACCTAGTAGCCTATCGGTTGCTTTGAGTAAGATAAGAAAATGGCGTTTGCAAATAGCCAAGGAGTCAATCAGGTTCCTTACCAAAACAATCAACAAATAAGTCAATCAGCAGGACAATCTTTTTCCAATTTTTGTTCACACACGCGCAGTTCTCTAACTATTGCGCGTAATAAGAAAGAACTTTTTTTTTTTGGGGAGGAGGGCAACAAACGGCAAAAGTTAGAACGGAGATTGGATCAAGAGCATTTAAGATTAGCCACTGCCAACAAAAGACCACTGAAAAAAGGCTGGACTTATCCCAACTTTGCCGAATGATTAAGCAAGGAGCAGTTATTAAAAAAGTATGGAGAATGAAGTTTACGAGGTGGCAAGCAACTAGGCAATAAATACTTATCTTTTTTGGATGTTGACATTGAGAAAGAGGACATTGCCCTAACTTTGCAGCAACGATTAGCAAAAAATGTCCGGTTGTGCTTGGACTATTTAAAGTGTTTTCATGTCAAGACCAAAAAAGGCTATCATACTTACTTGTTGACTGATTACTTATTGCCTAATTCTTTACTCTATCATACTGACAAGTTTGGCAAAAGGAGAGTGATTGGCAGTATTCAGAGCAAAGGGAAATATGTGGTTGGCTTTGATAGCAAAGATAAAAAATTAGTAGAAAAAGGCAAGTGGTTTTGACATGTAAAAGACTTAGAAAAAGTTAAGGAGAGCTTGGGAAAATTCTTTATTGAAATTGGTAAAGAAAAAGCAATTATCCAGGAAGAGAAAGGTAAGTTTTCTCATCTTAAATCTGAATTATTTAATAATTCAGTAATCAGGAAAAAAGTGGAGCATTGAGGGTGAGATTATAACTTAAATAAGTTGGTAGATAGAAGTTATAAAATAGTGATTGAAAAGTCTTGAAAAGCAGAGAAAAAAAATGTTGATAAACCTCCTGGACAATTGGCTTCTTTTAGACATAATATTCAAGCCAAGATATTAAGTAAACAAAAAACCTGCTTAGCTGACATTCGAAAAGTCTTTTATTTAGATTGAAAAAGCCAGCAAACAGGCTATTTTCTAGTCAATGATTATCAGAAATCTTATGCTGTGAATAATTTGAGTGTGGGCAGTGTGAGAAATATCAAGTTAGTTCCAGGAGTCAAGCACGCTTTTTTTAGTCGAATATTAGCATAATCCTTTCAATAATCCCTCTCACTGAAACTTCTGTAATTTCTCTAACTCCTTGACTTCTGGTAAACATAATAAAAAAGCCTCAATGTCTTGGGTTAATTCAGAGTGTTCAGGTTCATGTTTTCGCCCAAAGTCTAGCTTATAGTTAGCTAATAAACAGTGGGCTAGCTCATGAGCAATAGTGTTAATTAACTTACGAAAGCCAAAATGTTCGGTAAAGTTAGGCATATCACTTTTTAAACCGGCTAAGGAGTAAGCAAACAAGCCATTAAGATGAATTTCTTTGGTGTAGATAATTAAGTTGCCAATCTCCTCTTTGCCTAACAAAGTCCGACCATACCAATTATAACTCAAATGAAAACCACTAAATTTAATAATAACTGAACGCAAGGGATAGATATCACCATGTTCCTTAATAAGTATGTCCTGATAAAGCCGATAAGCAGCGTTAATTAAGTGTTCAAAATATTCTAACATGCTTATTTTTTATCAATATCAGTTTTTTTACAAATAACTTCTAAGCGAAAACTACCTTCCTCCTCAGGCATTTGCTCAGCTTTTTTTTTCGCACTTAACAATAATTTTCTCATTTGTGCTTTGGTTAGTCTCTTAGGAATTGCTTGTTTTTTTACCATATTACTTAATTTTGAGTTTTTTGTTTACTGGACAACGCCTCCTTTGCCCTTTTTTAAATGACAAATATTTAAGAAAAATCAGTTAAAATCCTTGGATGCTTAGGAAATTTACTTTTAAAAATATTCAGTTTATAAAATTAGTTAAAATCAAAAAATTGTATGAAGTGAAATCATGACCAACCAGCACATTCACCGCAACCATACCATAATTGCTTCTACCTGAAAAGAGGAGAAAATCAGGCAACTTTCAGATAAAAATTAACAACAACTTTTTAAAACGCTTGACTACTAGGCTTTTTTAGTAGTGAAATTTTAAGTAATAAAAACATAAAAATAACAAACAAAATATTTATAAAAATACTATGGGAAATCAACAATCAAACGAAAGAAAAATAAATTACAAAGCATATAAAATTGTAAAGAGGGTTAACTATTCAGATTGATTTAGGTGTTATTTAGATGATTTTGTCTCTTATAGTAATGGGGAATGTAAGCACATGGATTTTAGGAAATCCTCTACTGGTGAGAGCCTTATGTGGCTGGGTTCTAGTTTGATGGGTTTGGGTGATCAACTTCCAAAAAGTGCTGTTCTCGAAGAGGGATGGGTTATAGCGATTGACGTTGATTGGACACGTAAATTTCCAAGCGGTAAAGATTTTAGTCGTGAGGATGTAAAGACAGTAGGTAAAGATTATACAGATTTACATAGTGGTCTTGCAGATCTTGAAGGATTACTTGAACAAAGACAAGAGTATATTGCTTCAATTGAGCAACAAAGCCGTCATGCAAATAATCACTCATGAACCAAACAAACTTCTTGGGATATGCCTCCTAGTTGAAAATAAAGTCGTTAAATTAATTAGAGATGGCTTGACCAGATAATAATTTGGGCATAGGGCAGGGTATTGGAAAAAGAAAGTGGTGGCATCTCCCCACTTCCTACCCTTTACGATTATGGTTGCTTTGGATATTTTTATTGCCTTTTGTTTTTATAATATGGTTGATAGTAGAAGTGGGGAAATGGTGAAAAAGACGAAAATTGTCCCGTTGTTTACGAAAAAAAAAAAAAAAACGCTAATAAACCCCAAAAC